CTTGAATGCTTTCCTAGGGCCCTACTTCACATCTTCCTACTTTTTCTTCCTTTCTAGTGTCTTCCCTGTACCTTTTAGCTCTCTCCTATCCCATCTATCTTCAGGGTCATATCTCCTCCTCTGACCAAGCATGAGAACAGACATTTTCTTTCTAATAGCTTTGTTTAGTGTTTCATACTTAACCTCTCCATTTTAGAGGTGACTCGCACTGGTTTCTATTACTCTTGAAAAATGTTTATGAACCAACATTTACATTTTATTTATTTTTTTTATTTTTATTTTTTTTAAAGATTTTATTTATTTATTTGACAGAAAGAGACACAGTGAGGGAACACAAGCGGGGGAGTGGGAGAGGGAGAAGCAGACTCCCCGCGGAGCAGGGAGCCCGATGCGGGGCTCGATCCCAGGACCCGGGATCATGAACCGAGCCGAAGGCAGATGCTTAACGACTGAGCCACCCAGGCGCCCCCCAACATTTACATTTTAACACAATTGTTTTTACCACAATCATAATAAAATACATTAAAAGTCTCTAGAGGCCTTACTGAAATGTGATATATTGCAAGCACATTGTGGCACTGTCTGAAGAGGCTCATTGCTCCAGAAGGTCACTGAGAGAAGAGGTGCCTTGGGCAGCATCTGCCATCGTGTGGAGTGAATAGTAAGCATCTGAGCTCTTACCTGCTGCAAAAGTCCTAACTCCAGTGGCTCTGATTAGATCATCTGCTTTTCCAGGGAAACAAAGAACTATTTTGGATAGTTTTAATGATTGGGTTGCTTAATTCACCTCCATTCCTCAGAAAACTGCCTCTCACACCAACAGTTATTTCATGAATATAAAATTTCCATCATCTAAAATATGATTATTTATACACGAGTAATTAACAGTCTTATGAGTGAGCCTCCACAACAGGTATGACTCATGTTTGGCATTTAGATAGCTTTACTGTGACTCAATAATACAGTCTGGGCTTTAGGTCTGAATTGCCTGGGTTTGAATCCTAACTCGGCTATGTATTAGCTGTGTGGCCTTAGGCAAGCTACTTAACTTCTCTGTGCCTTAGTTTCCTCATCTGTAAAATGGATATATTAATAATAACCACATCATAGGGTTGCTGTGAAATTTAAATAAGTGAAAATACACAGCACCTGGCACTGGATGAGTCCGACAAGTATTACTGGAGCTGTAAGAACCTATAGATTAGTTGGTGATCGGATAAAAGAGGAAAAAAAAGTTTATACTGAACAAAGACAGACTATGGAGTATGCAGTGCTGTCTGGACCCTAAAATATTAAGAAAATCAAATACTTTTTACATCTTCCCCATTCTATTCTCTATCTTGGAATAATAAAAATAGAGTATTTGCATTTAAACCGTTAAGGGCTGCGGCTGCACACTGAAAACTAAATAAACAGATATTTCAGGTAACGTTTTTATTGGAGGTCTGCAAGAAGCTGTGAGACACAGGCTAACATTATTCACATGATTATGTGCATGTGTGTATGAAAGTGCATACGTGTGTGTGTGGGGGGGGTGTATTCTTGAAACTATGTAAATGAGCCCCACCTCAAAAGCCAAGACCACTGGAAATAAGGGGGGGATATAAAAAATGACACAATTTGTAAAAACTCATGAAACAAAATATTCTTATACAGAATGGAAAAAATGAAACAGGACATTTTAGTTTAGTAAGCTAATATTTGGTGAGTTTCAAGTATGAATTAATAGGTGAGTTTAACAGATAGGGAGTGTCAGTCTAACCATGGCCAAAGAACAATGTGAAAAGTACCAATAAAAATGAGTTTCCTGTTTTATTTATGGTTGGGATTTTCAGCGTTCAAATATCTCCAAATATTCTAAGAAGATACTTCAAATTGTAGGCTGGCATAATTGGATAATCAGCTATGGTGTATAGGATTTCCAGAACTACAAAGCATCAGTAATATACAGCAAGTGATTAAATAAAAGCCATTTTATAATAATGATAGATGCTCAAAGCAAAGCACCATATAGTTTATTAAAACTGTATAGTCCAAGAAGAAAGTCAGATGTCAATTAAAGTCCTGATTTTTTTATTGTTGGTTTTTCTCTTGGGGTCAGATAAAAAGTATATATATACATTATATATATACTATATATAATATCAACACTAATATCAAATACTAGTACGTTCGAATTCATAAACTTGAAAAGAAATTGCCATACAGATTTATTTTACTTCTTTCTAGTGGAAAAACTATTTTAAAAATGTGAGCTGGAATTATATGGAATTTTAATTGGCCAATGGTTATTTAAAATCATATTGAACCTGGCTGTATCACCAGTTTAAAAAAATAGAATATTTTCATTTTATCCATAGAATACACATTTTAATGTTCTCTACTAGAGGACATTAAAAATCTATGCATAGTCAACATGGTATACAGGAAAACCCACATCTAAATACCAGATTTGTAAAGCAAGGACTAAGGTGGTTATACAACAGCAGATTTTTATTAATTATGTCTATTGATATGGTTAGTCAGTTTCAATTTTGAACTCACTAATTAAATGTTTCTGTAACTAGAAGCTGCATAAAGCGTTTGGATCAATGGCATAAAAGAGGTTCCCAACTCTCATCTGAATATCCTGTACTGTTGCTGCAAACTGAAAAGATCTGGAAGAAATCATTTCCATTGTGCCCATAGGGCCATTTTGCTTGTGTAGCTAAAGGACAGGAAAGCACTTAAATCCTTCCTTGATATGCACACAGTGGGCATCCTTTTTATCAAATATATATTTTTTTCTTTTACTGACTGCCCTTGGTTAAAAGCACAGACTTTGGAGATAAACAAAAATACAAAGATGAAATGCCTAAAGTGACTTTAAGATATGCAAATGACAACAAAACCATTTAAATAGGTTATGTCCTTGTTTTCATTAAAAAGACAACTTAGATGCAATTTAAAAGTTCTGAATGTGTAAGGCCTTCCTAGAATTCCAGGTAAGACTTGTTTTGTAGCCTTGGTTCTTTGTTAACATCCCAATTATTATTCTTGCAGTGGTGGGGAGGGTG